GCAGAAAATCATCGTCCCTGGATCACGGGTAGATCTACAAAATTAACCAATCAGACGAACTTCTACCTATGAAAAGCAATATGGAAAACTGGTTTACCCAAAACACTAGTTTAATACGCTATTAACCAATCAAAATAGATACTATTGCTCCGTCTGCAGTGTTCTTCCATATAAAATTACCTAGTCTGGAATGGTTCGATCGGGCATCGGTATAAAAATTATTTCCGGTAGTCAATTTTTAGTTACATATTGTATTTTTGGTTGTGTACAAACTATCGCTATATATAACAGGAATAAGGTATTTTTTGAATATCAATATTCCAAAACATTGTTTTTTTTTTTTTTTTTTTTTTTTTTTTTGTGCAAAAAATCATGGCAGAAATTAACGCTAGTAGTGTTCAATCAGAAGAAGCATCTAAAGAAGAATTTGATGAATTTGCTACTAGAAGGCATAAAAAATATAAAACATGTGAAACATGTAAACGGTATCGTACTGGAGTATATTTATGTCATTCATGTGATCCTCAAATATCAGATAAAAGATGGACCAGCGGAAATAAAGAAATTGATGATTTTATTAGAAAACGACAAATAAAGGAAGTGAAATATGGAAAGGTGATTGAATGGATACCTTTTGACAGATTAAAAGATTTTGAAAAGATCGGAGAAGGAGGTTTTGGCACAGTATATTCTGCGATATGGATAGATGGAAGACGACGAAATGGAGAGCGAGAACAATACACTAAAGTTGCACTCAAAACTTTGACAGGGACTCTAAACATTTCACTTGATTTTTTAAAAGAGGTAATAAAGAATTCATTCGTATAATAACAATAAATAAACACTTCAATAAAAGTATTTTACATGATGAATAATGTATTTTACATGATGATTTAGCTTGAAGCTCATGTAGAGTGTCAATCTTATGGATCCGAAGACATGCTTAGATTGTTGGGAGTAACTTGCAATCCAACTAATAAAGAATACATATTAGTTTTTCAATACGCCGATTTAGGAAATCTCCGACAGTATATAGTAAAAAATTTTAAAACAGTTACATGGAGGCAAAAATTAGAGTTTCTATTTGTTGCAGCATATGATTTAAATCATGTTCATAATGCAGGGTATTTACATCGGGATTTTCATAGTGGTAATGTACTTCTAGTTACAAAGGTTGATTCTGATGGGTCATCAATAGAAGCACGTATTGCAGACTTTGGATTATCAAGAAAAAAAGAAGAATCAGTTAATAATAAAGAAATATTTGGAGTACTGCCTTTCGTAGCACCAGAAGTATTAATGGGTAAACCATTCACACAAGCATCAGATATTTATGGATTTGGAGCTATGATGTCTGAAGTGTCAACTGGAATGCTACCATTTGAAAAGGAATTAGAAGAACTTGGTAATTTTAATCTTAGTTTACAAATTTGTAATGGATTAAGACCAGAATTTGCAAAAGAGACACCAAAATGTTATATAGAATTGGCAAGAAAATGTATGGATAAAGATCCAGAAAAAAGACCAACAGCTAAAGAAGTTTGTCAAAAAATATTCGATTGGTGGAATAATTTTCATTTTGAAGTAGAAAATTTACAAGAACATGAGTTTGAAATAGTAAATTCATTTTTGGAGGCAGATAAAATTACTCCTACTTTATCAATAACGCAACTTTCAAATGCAAAATATACAAGTCAACTTATTGATACACATAAAATTTCTAAAACTTTTGAACAAATTGAAATAAGTAATTATAAAATTTCATATTATTAAGATTACTTTTTATTTATGTTAATCTAATAGTCTATGATTATAAAATTTAAAAAATTTACAAAAGGTGATTTTGTTATTCCTGATTCGCTTGAGATTGAAGATGAATAGAAAACTTTTATTATTATTTTATATAACGATAACATTACAACTGTAAGATAATTTATTTCTTCATGTAAGTCAATATCAAATACTGTTCGAATTAAATTTTTGGCATTCTATTTTATCGCATTAAAATTAAATACTGTAATTAGAATTTCTCGACATTCTCGCACTAATTAACTACAAGTAAAACTTGTTACAGTAAAGTGGTCCATTCCATTAGTAAAAATTTTTTAAAAATTTAGAGTTTATTAGTAAAATTTACTATAATGAGAGAATTTTATATAGATTGGATATTAGCCAAACTTTACTACATCGAGATTTTAATTAGTCTTTACTATATAGAAAAGTTTACTATAATGAATGACTTGTATTTAATTTAAATATGAAATGTTAAGACTAATAATAATACAAAACAGCAATAATTTTTTATGTTGATAACTTTTACTTGATGGTTGAAAGCTAATTCTGACCTGACATATTTAGCAAACTAAATTGTCAAATCAAATTTAAGGGTTATTTAGTTAATAGTAAGAATAAGTTCTATTTGTAAGTGCTTAGAAGATTTCTTTGTTAGAAAACAAATATTTAAAACAGTAAATCTATGTCTAAAATCAAGAAGTTCATAAATTTGAATGTAGGTTTGCTTATACCATCGAATCAAACTAGGTTTTAAAAAAGTAATTCCTTATAACTAGTTAAGAATATTGAATACTGCATGAGATGTTTAACTTGGAACTTAAGATAAAGAGCATGATAAAGATGAGGGTAATATGTGCGGATCGATGTGCCAAATTCGATAAATTTTTTTTTTATTTGAATTACAAAAATTCTTAGAACTCAAATAAAAAAAGTTCATTGAATTTGACTATATCTTCATTCAAAGAACAAAAAAAAAAAATTTAATGCAGCTTCTGTTTTGGTAGACATTGTTTTTAAGACTTCAAGCAAAAATATTTCGACAACTGCCAGGCCAAATTTGATGAACTTTTTTTTTTTTATCTAAATCTTACAGATTCATAGAATTCAATAAAAAAAAAAGTTCATCGAATTTGACTTGATAGTTGTTGAGATATCTTCATTCAAAAAATATGCATAGCTTCTGTTTTGATAAACATAGAGTTTTTAAGATTTTGAGCGAAAATATTTCGACAACCGCCAGGCCAAATTCGATGAACTTTTTTTTTTAAAATTCTACAGATTCTTTGAATTCAAATAAAAAAAAAAGTTCATCGAATTTGACTTGGTAGTTGTCGTATCTTCATAAAAATATTTGGTGCACTTCTCTTTGATAGACGTTTTGAGTTTTTTGAGAATTTGAACGAAGATATCCTGACAGCCACCAGGCCAAATTCAATGACCTTATTTTTTTTTATTTGAATCCTACAGATTCATAGCATTCAAATAAAAAAAGTTTATTGAATTTGATTTGATGATTGACGAGATATCTTCGCTCAAAGTTCAAAAAAACTTTGAGAGTATGAACATTAAATTTGGGGATATCAATCCTCTTTCATTATATATATTTTTTTTATTCGGATTTTTTACTGTTTTTATGAATTGATAATTTAAAATTAATATTTTATAAGAAGTAAGGTGTTCATACAATTATAAGCAAATCTGTTTGATTATCTTAATTGTACACTATAAGACCATACAAAATTAATTAATTGGTTTTTCATAATCTAGCATAATTTTAACATTACATCAAGGCTAGAGTTTGGATCCGTTTTTTATTTCTCATACGGTATGTTAAAATTGGTTCAAAATTTATGTCTTTGTCCTTCAAATCACAAATTCATCTATAATATGACTTTTTTTTTGTTTTTTTTATCTATAATCATTTTACGAGTGTCTCAACTAGAATAAAAACTCACTGGTCTAGTGTGATGGTTCCTCTTGTTATTATAACTTAACTCCTATGCATTGTAACGCCAACCAATCAGATCGCAGTATCAGGTGTAACGTAAAAATCAAAACAATACGTAGCGATAGCGATTTTTTGTTTGAAATTAACAGCACAATAATTACAATAATTAAAAGGTAAACACTTTGCAAGTTGTCTAGAGTATTAATGAGATTTTATACCAAGTTTACCTAATTTTTTTTTTTATTAGTAGAGAGCCGATATTTGAAATTATTTGAAAAATGAGAGTAAGTAGAATTGGCTAAGTAAGATGCCCTTTTGCTATGATGTTAGCCAGTACGAACTTCTTTAATTGGTAGAGGTCTATCGATTCTATACGATGAATCGGTTATGCGCCTATCTCTATTATAAAGGTTTGCTGATTCTAGAAAAAGAATTGGTTATGTTACTTTATTTAATTAAAGAAGTTAGATTTCTTAAGCTGGGCTTGTTAAGTGCGGAGGCTCTAGTGCAAACCGCCGTTGTCATGGTAGTCAGTCTTAATGGAAAGCTTTTGTAAACTGTGTACTAGTTACATCTATCATAAGGCTATCTTACATTAGTTTTACTTCATTTTGCTTAATTTTTCTTTTATTAGTGCGATATATATTAGAAAGAAGATCCGAGAACCAATCCTGAAAATAGAGTAAGTAGAATTACTGCATTGCGATGAAGAACTCACTTGATCAGCTAAATTATCTTTACTAATTAAATTCGAAGGATTAAATTATATAAAAATGAAAAAAAAACACGAAAGAAAAGTAAATAAAGAAAACATACTATATAATTTATCAAATTAAATATTTTTTATGTAGTATTAAAATTTATTCTTCTATGTACAGTATTAGAAACTTTTTTATGAATTAGAAGCCTCATTATTTTTTCACAATTGTGCTAATCAATCGAATAAACTTTTTAAGGATCAAAATTGTTACAATTTTATTATAAATAAGGTTCACATAAATTTTTTTAAACCCAAGACCAAAGGATAATTTAATTTTAAATAAAACTTTATTGAATAACAGACCAGTATTTTTTTTTAAAGTACAATAATATATTTTAAGGACTGTTGTATACAATAAAGAAACGTGCACTGTCCAATTTTAGAAAATTTCCCATAGTTACATTTACAATATGTTACATTACTCAATAATAATATGTAGTTGGCCTCGATTTCTCGATATCAATAGTAAAAGATAAATTAGGAGATCTTCGTGACGCGATATTTACTGGTTTATAAGGTACAATTTTAGTTTGATTATTATTATTATTATTAGAACAAGTTGAAATTTTAATTACATCGACTTTGTTCTACCAGCATCAATATTTTTCTTTATTGTGTATCCTCCTTTTATTTGAAGTTTTCCATAATAAATCATTGCTTCAAGATTTCCAGCATCCACAGATTTTTTTAACATTTCTGCACCAATATTTATTCGATTATCTTTATGACGTTCAGAAGAATATCCTGAAAATAATAATTTGGCGTATAAAAATTGAGCATCAGAATGTCCTTGTTAACTATATAGTGGAAAATAATTTAGCCGATCAAACGAGTTTTTCATCGCAATGAAAAAAGGATCCGATATAAGGTTTTAATTGGTTGGAATTAGCTATCATTTTGATGAACAAAATATGGAGGCGCAACTTTCATCTTTGTTTTTCTTAAGTTTACTAAAATATAAAATCCACAACTAGTACGATGAATTTTAGCATATCTCCCATTTAATCGTAATAACCACTTCACTTCATGGCAATGATTTGAGCAACATCTCTATCATTTTTCAAATCGCATTGAGGGAGTTGCTTGATAACGCCCTTACTATCCGCATTTTGTACCATAACGATAAATCTTCCGCTAGAATTTAGGCTGACTCTATACCTCGAATTATGATAGGAAAACTATAAATAAGTATGTTCGTGATTTAATTTCACTTATTAACGTTAATGAAACATCTTTATACTCACCTGACTAAATTAATGCAAATGAAATGATTTGAATGGTATTTTTAGAATTGTTATACCTACTGGTGCAACTGTATTGCACAGCTACCTTAATAATAATCCCCAAATCAAATAATTTCGATCATATGATTAAGAATTAGTCCATTTGATTCATCTTTAAATAATCTTATTTAGTTTTGAACTGCAGTTCGGTCCAATCTTTTAAAAAGACTGCTGGTCTTAGACCAGATTGAACCGAATGGATCGATTAACAGCCCTACACCTCACTCAATGGATCTGAGGTAAAATTTTAATTAGTCGAAATTCGAATAAATTAACCAAGAGTTCGATTAATAAAATATGGAGGTGTAAACCATCAGCATATATTTAACATTTAATCGTAAGTAATTGCAAAATCTCAATCACTTCAAATCACACCGAGGGAACTACTTGAGAACGCCCTTATTAAGAATAGATATTTAGCAGAACTCTTCGATCAAAGGAAACACCAAAATTGACGAAGGAAATACCACGAAAAAAATGTCAAACCGATGAAACACCACCAAACAATGAATAAAGCACACCAAACCGATGAAAGAAGCACCACCAGAACGACAAGGAGGAATCATCAAACCGACGAAAGAAACATCATCAAACCGACGAAGAAAGCTCCACTAGAACGGTGAAGAAAGCATCACTAGAACGACGAAGAAAACACCACTAAACCAACGAAGAAAACACCACTAAACCGACGAAGAAAGACCATTATAATGACGAAGAAAGCACCATTATAACGAAAGAAACACCGCCAAAAACGGCGAAGGAAATACCACCAAAACGACGAAGAAATCATCACTAAAACCGCGAGAAACACGCTACAAAACGGCGAAGAAAGCATCACGATAAAAATAAAAATAATACGGATTTAAATTTGCATGAATAAAGTATTCAAAATCACCTACAGGTCAGTAAAAAATCTAGCTGCTATTTTTTTTTTTCTGGATGACGCTAGGGTCGTTAGTAAATCAATATTAAATCATGCACTCGATCACACACTCATCCCACACCGCTAAAAAATATAGGTTCGAGAGCCTTTAATTGCATATTGCTCTTAAACGTTTTAAAAAACTATACAGTTATAATATGAAACTAAGGGTTATATAGTGGAGAGAACTCAACACATTTATTAATAACCCATGAACGTCAAAAAACTAGTTTGACTTTCAAAATTAGTTTCTGTTTACAACTATACTTAAGAAGCATAGAGGCAACCAAAAACTTCTCTGCTCCGAATTTTCTTTCATAACGTCGAAAGAACGGCTAGAACCATTAAAAAAATTACGAGTTGTTTGTGCTGTCCGCTACTAAGCGCATTTAGGGGTGAATTCCAACAGATTTGCCGCAACATTTCTTAAATATAACTAGTAGTATTTAAGAAAGAAAAGACAAACCATATCGTTTGTAGTAAAGAATTTAGATGTATTTATAGTTTTAGTATAACTATAGACATTCTAATTTGGAATTGTATCATACATTGTTTTGATCATTCAAAAACGCGAAAACACGTGATTTATTTACTTGTGCCGGTGTTACAAACTCCGCAAAAGGAAACAAGATAAAAATTAAAAAACACGTGAAGATAATTCGTTACGTTTGTTTCACAAATAAATTTTCGTTGTCCAATCAGATTAATACTGTCTTTTACATGAATTTTTTTTGAAGAAAAAGAAAAGCAAAAATATATATCGATATTGCAAAAAAAAAAAAAAGATGCAATGCCAGAAAGTTTATACGCCTCATTTTCTCACGGTTAAAAAAAAAAAAAAAATTACAATTGGCATTTTGTACAAGAGCCTTAAAAGCACCAGATAAACATTACCGAACCACACATGATAAAAAAGCACCCGAATAACGGAATAACGTAATACGTACTATAGTACTTCCCTTATCAGTTATAAAATTTTCCATAAAAAAAAGACCCGGGTTGCTCGGTGTAGGCTACTCCATTGACAATCCTGGAATAGTATATTCTCAAGCCTAGCCGATCCCGGAGGCCTAAGTTGGCGTTGCATCACATATCAGGTGATCTTGATCATTAATTATAAAAAATAGACTTTAATGCTCATTTAACAAAAAAACGAACATGAAGGAGAATAAAGATAATTTGAAAACTTTTGATCTTTCAGCCTTAAGCCAAAATTGGGTATGATACATTAATCATTTAAAATTTGAATTCATATAAGCTAATAATTCTTCATTTAGACTTCCACACAACGGTTTAATGTTGCAGCTTTATGTGCCCACGTTGTTTTCGAGACTGTGTGGTCAGATACTGATTCTGAATTAGAATGGAAAAAACAATTTCTTGCTAATACGTTTCAACATTTAGCTGCTGACGAGACAGAAGGTTTGACTTTGTATTTTCGATAAGAATGTAAATACTATGGTCGCAAAAAAAAAAAAAAAAAAAAAAAAGTTCCAAAAAAATCATGGACGATTGCCATTTGATATTTCGAGAATGTCTGATTCATTTGGGATAATTATGAGTTTAAGCAATTCCAACAAACTTTAGAATTTATTTTATCAATATCATAAGAAAGATAGACCATCTGATCAGCTTCATTAATTCTATATTATATGAACCATAACATTCATTTAAACCCAAGACCATTGATATCTGCGTTATGTGATAGTTATATGATGGCTGATCTTTTACTACTTGCGAAATTTCTAGAGAATAGCTATTTTGATTTATGAGTGTCTTAAAATTTTAAATTATTCAAAAATTGGGGTCGTCATTCTTGAATTATCAACAATCGCATATTATTATTATTTTCACGACCACCATATTATCATGATCAATTAATGAAAATTTTTAATAACTTTAAAACAGAAAATAACAATGGCAATGACTACACAATGGATTTTGACTTTCTAATATCCACATTCAAGCAATCAGATATTCGTGAAGAGATTATTTCAGAAATTTTGTTAGTATGTCTTGGTCTCACGCGGAATGATTCAGACAATTCCAATAAAGAAGTGAATTTAAAAGAAAGATATAATAATATAGTATCAGGTGTAAGTAATTCTGATACGAAATTATCAGATTCTATAGTCCTAGTGAATAAGCCAGTTGAATATGACGCTCGATCAAGGGCAATTTTATTCAAGCATGCAAAATATTTGGATGTCCCTACATCTACTGTCAAATCATTAGAAAAAGCGTTGGCACAACAATTATATTTTTTACAACAACAACAGATTGAATCTGAAAATAATTCTGAAAATAGTGATCAAAAAGTTCAAGTATTTAATAATAGCGCAAGTACTAGCCTTATTAGTCGTGATAAAATGAAGAAAAAATGGCAATGGATGGCTACTGGTGTTGGTGTCGTAGTGGGTGCAACTGCAATCGGTTTAACCGGAGGATTGGGTATGTCACATAATACATGCTTTTAAATTATTTATACTGTGTTAAATTGACGAAATTCAACTATTGTGAATTGTCAAGGAAGCTGCACCGCTTGTTGCCGCTGGAATAGGTGCAATTACTGGTGCAGGGATTGTCGCAACCGCTGCATCAAGTGTAGCATTAATGACATCGCTATTCGGGATTGCTGGAGGTGGACTTGCAGGTATTACTTTTTCGTAATACAGTATATACATATTTTTTACAATCATCTTTTTTTTATAAAAAGTTAATCTAATTTTTTACAGGTTACAAGATGCATAAAAGAATGCAAGGTCTAAAGGAATTTTCTTTTATTCGGATTGTTCACGATAATTCAATTCCTCTTATTCCATCTCTTCATGTTAGTGTCTTCATACCTTTCATTATTATTATTATTTTCCCATTTATATGTCATCTAACTATGAGCAAATATCATGTTCATAATTTACCGGTATATGTTTAAACTATAGGTCAACATTGTTATTTCGGGGTACCTTTTAGAAGATGTTAGTGAAGTGACCACTCCTTGGCTTCCTACATTTGAGAAAGTTGACAATTTAAGTGATACATTCGCGTTGAAATTTGATCCAGAAATTCTTTTGTCACTTGGTCGAGCATTTCGTCGATTTTTAGCGGAATCTGCTGTTAAGGTGGCAGCAAGTGAAGCTATAAAAAGGACCGTTTTTGCAACTTTAGCAAGCGCGCTTATGTTGCCAGCTGCTTTAATGAAAGCTGGTGATTTAATAGATAATCCATGGGCTCTTGGTGTAGATCGTGCAAATAAAGCAGGTTTAGTGTTGGCTGATGTTTTGATGGAACGTGTTCAAGGAAAAAGACCAACAGTTTTGGTATGGTGAATTCCCATTATTTATGTTATTCAAATTTATTATATGTTTAACGTCATTTAAGAATGGAAATTGGAAATTTGTTCGAAGATTTTAAATACTCGTATTTAGACTTATGCCTAAAGTTAATATTAGATATTTTTTGATATTTAATAATCCTTCAGGTTGCCTATTCACTTGGTGCTTTAGTCATTTGGAAATGTTTAAAAGAATTAATAAAAAGAAATCAATATGGGCTGATTGATAGTGGTATGATTAATTTGAAATCTTTTCTTTCAACTGTAAAATAATTATTTAATTTATCTCTTTATTTTTATTAAGTTGTTCTTATCGGTGCACCTATTTCATCTACTCCAATTTCTAAATGGGAAGAAGTTTCTGGTGCTGTTTCTCGCCGTTTCGTAAATGCATATGCAACAAATGATGTCGTTCTTGGTGTGATTTATCGAATGCATTCTTTGGATCTAAATGTTGCGGGACTTAAACCAGTGGAATGTCCTAATATAGAGAATTTTGATATTACTGATTTGACAACTGGGCATTTAGGATATCGTGAACCTGAGGTGTTAACAAATATTCTTAAAAGAATTCAATTGGATTAAGAAATTAGATATTTTATTATGTATTATTCGTAATACAAGTGACTCTTGATATAAGAAAGTCTCCGGGTCCAGACAAATCTTTCTTATATCGATTGCTTTTTGTTATAAAATTTTTAATTGGGACTTGTAAAAACTTTCTTATATCAAGAGTTTTTTATATCGAAGGTTTCTTTATATCGAGAGTCACTTCCGTTGGGTATTATCGGAAACGAAGTTCCATAAGGATCAGGATATTATTGATTAATACCCGTGATCTTGATATAGTGATCGGAATACATATATATATATTTTTTATTTTTACATCTAAAATAAAATTTTTTGCTTTATTTAAATTATAATATTTTTTCCGATTTATACTGCTTTCAATATATGGTATCGGGCAACATAAGATATTAACTATTTATTAAAGCGCCAAATCTAAAGTAAGGACAATAAAAAACATCAACTTTTAAATAAGGACGCCATATTTAAATAAAGACAATATGAGACATCCAATTAATAGTCCGTTCAAAGTTGAATAGTTGTTTAACGTTACCCCGTTAGCTGTCTCCCCGGAAATTAAACAAGCCAATCACAATTCAGGAAAATATTAAATAATCATGTGATTAGGTTGACCAATAAGATGTTTGATTTTTGTTTAAATCCTCTTTAAGCCTGATGAGCATAGTTAAAAATCTATTTGATTAGTTGTCGATTCTTGAAATTTTATTCGACTTTTTTTTTTTACTATTAAGATGGCTTTCTTTGCCGATTAGATTTTATTAATTTGTTATTACAAAGCTATTTTAAGGTAGATTTCTAAGATTTTATAATTACATGATGAGTGTATAACAAGTCATATGTACAATTTTAGTTATTGTCTAATTTAAGTAGTCTGCTATATAGACAATTGACTATCTGTTGGTTCTACATTATACTGCTATACCTGCAACCCATCTATAGGTTATTTATTTAAACACTCTGATCATTAACTTTTCTTCCTATTTTAAACTAACCTCATCATTATATCTGATTACTTAAATCAGTTGATTTGCTTGTAGATCTATTTACCATATGACTTAGGTCTTCTTAGAATGTGTATGCTTAATATATTATAAGCTACAGAGTTTCAGTTAACTTCAGAAGTATACTTACTAAAATAGTCTATATTTATTTTACAAATTTATCTAGTTTAGATTTTTGTAGATGTTTATACAACTCTAATTCCTACTATAGCTTTTTACTAGTATTATTTACAGATCTCGCTAAAATCTATCATAAGTTAGATTCTCTTAATCCAGTTAGCTACTAAGCCAAGTTGATGTTACTGTAACATATAGTGATCACTATTACAATATGAACTTATATGCAGCTAACCTAATTAAAGTTTTGAATACTGTATTCTTCTGAATTAAGTATTAGCCAGTATGATTGTTAAAAGCTGTACTACTTCATTTACTTGGAATTTCTACTATGCAGATCTTTTACTTGTAGTTTCTATTAAGATTTATTTATGTAATGTTAAATCCTCTAAATATTATGTTATACTTCCAATATTCAGATAATATTAGTACAATGTGATTTACAGGGTTACAACTCCAGACACTAACAGAGTTTACTATAAGTTGGGTACAAAGGTTTGGATAATTATTCAAATTTGTTAACAGTAGAATTTGAACCCCAAACCTTTTTTATGGCAGTCTGATAATCTAATTACTATACTAAGATTGCTAAACTTTTTAATTTTATTTGCTTTTATAATTAATATTTTATATTAGTTATAGAATATTTCTTTTTTTTTTTTTTTTTTATTAAGGCTACTTCTTTGTTTGATTAGATTTTATTAATTTGTTATCACAGAGTTATTATAGTAGTAATCCCTTAAGGTTTTATAATTATATAATAAGTATACAATAAGCTACATATACAACTTTAGTCATTGTCTAATTTAAGTAGTTTGCATATAGACAATTGACTATCTGTTAGTTCTACACTATGTTATCATATTTGCAACCTACCTGTGAATTACTTATTTAAATACTCTGATCATTAACTTTTCTCTCTATATCAAACTAATATTATCACTACATCTGATTGCTTAAACTAGCTGACTTATCTGTAGTTCTATTTACTGTATAACTTAGATCCTCTTGGGATATATATTGCCTAATATATTATGAGCATGCAGAGCTCTAGTTAATCTCAGAAATGATTCCTAACAATGTAGTAATATGCTCATTTCACTAATTCATCTGAATTAAACTCTTGTTGATATTCGTACAAACCTAGTTTCTATTATAGCTCTCTACTAGATATAGTCTTCTGAGATTTAACTAGATGTTTCATGAAGTAGATCCTCCTAATCTAGTTAGCTACTAAGCCAAGTTAGTATTACTACTAATACAAAACACTAGACTATATTACATAGCAAACTTATTCATACTTACTCAATCTATATCTTTTGTATTCAGGTTTTTCATTAGATCAAGCATTAACTAATGTAACTGTTAAAATCTGTACTATTTTACTAAATTCAGGATTTCTACTATAGGTTTTCTGTCTATAGATCCTATCAAGATTTATTTATTTAACATAGCTTAAGCATTGCATTACATTTCCAATATCTAATTAATATTGGTATAATGTAATTTACAAGGTTGTAATCTTCAGAAACGAACAGAGTTTACTGTAAGTTAAATACAAAAGTCTAAATAATTATTAAATTTGTCAATAGTAAGATTTAAACTCCTAACCTCTTGTATAGCAGTTTGGTAACCTAACTACTATACTAAGATCACTAGACCTTGTTATAGGATATTTCTTTTTAAGAGATTTAAAATATTGTTATTAGAAAAAAACAATATATTGTAATAATATTTCTATTTATTTAACTCTCTTCGCTGATTACCTAAACTATTATGAAGCAAATATTTTTTAAATACAAAATAATTTATAACTTTAGAAAACCTAGTAAAATAGTAATTATTAAATAGAAGTACGAGTTATATAGTCTAATATACTTTATATACAAGGCAAAAAGACCTAGCAGGTGATAATACTATTATTTTGGCTAAAAGTTTATATTATAGTATTTTAAAGAAAAAGGTGAAGAAAAGAAGTAGTAAAAAGGAAGAAGAAACAACAAATAGTGTTTTGCACTAGGGCAAACACTTCAATACTCTTTCCCTTTATAACTAGTTTTTGTAGACAATTTCTCTTATTCTTTAACTAACAAAACTGATATGATGATCGTAGCTTTTTTTATTTTGAAAAAAGTAGAGATTTTGGCTTACTCCTAACAAAAGATTAGTACTTATACTACTTTTTATTTTAGGCAAGTTACGTCTTAATTGTTTATAAGTCAATTAACATATATGAAGCTAATACAGATCTGCATATATAAATAGAATAATAGCTAATAGAAGTTATACTCAAGATTTATAGTATATGTATTAGTACTATAAATAATTTTTATTTTTTATACCTTAACACAGACTATAATAGTATGTTCTATCTTGATTATCTTTCTTTTTGCCTTCTTTTTCTTCTTTTATTTTCTTTTTATGCTTTCTTTTTTTTCATATAGGCAATATTTTTCCTATATTTTGTTATTTCTCCTTTTATTTTTC